ATATTAATACAAACTTTTAGCATACAAATAAATATTAATATAGATTGTTTTAAAATATGAATCTATATGCTGAGAACACAAAATTAGAAAAAAATAATTAAAATTTTTAATGGTACAACAAAATAAAGAAGAATGTACACGCCCCTCGACTTAACGTGCTGCGAATCAAACTTTTATAAATATATTTTATATCCGGTTACGGCCACTGTCTTGGAGAGTCCGCGCTGAAAGTAGATGTGTAGGAGGAAAGAACACAAAACTGTTCCGAATAACAATTCAATCAAAAGTCTTTAATGAAATTTCAACAACATTGATAATACACGACTATATGCGACGATAGCAAACGTTTCGTCAATGCTGAACAATAACGCGGGAATCGCTGTGTACTGATCGCTAGTCGAATAATAACTGACTGCCTGCGCTCGGCGAGAGTCAAGCACGAAAAAACGCCGGATTCTCTGCATTCTTATAATATCACGCGTACAGGATCGGGTGATCACGCGTATAGTCGGTATCAATACCGAAGTCATAACGTGATTCTTGAACGGATGTCGAACAAACAATTCATGGCCAAACACAATTAGCCTACATGCCGAAAAATCCAATTTGAATTCTGAACATACTGCTCGCCTCGTACGGACGACGAAACGGGCTGACAAACAAACTCTAGGACGGTGAAAATTTTAATAGAACAATAGCAGACGGAATTTTTGACAGATCTTTACAATGAGTAAGAGAAAGTTACTCGTCTTTTCTAATAAGTGGACAAATTTTAGTAATAGGACGCTTAAGCGTTGAGGACGCGGTGCGAACAGTCACGACACGCGTGTGACCATCTGGGCCAGGGTGTATTTCAATGACTCTGGCCATGTCCCATTTAGCGGGGGGAAGCAGGGGGTTCTTTATTATCACGAGGTCGTTAATTTTAATCGGTGGTTGTACCGTTTGCCATTTCTGCCTCTGATGAAGCGTATGCAAATAGTCAGAAGACCACGCTTTCCAAAAATGTTCGTGCATGGCCTGCACCCTTTGCCATCTCGACAAACGATTCTCATTAATTTCTAAGACAGACTCTCCCGGTGCACTCAAAAGGGGGCGACCTATTAGGAAGTACCCCGGTGTGAGCGCTTCGAAGGAGTCCGGATCGCTTGTCAATGCGGCAAGAGGACGGGAGTTAAGGTAGGCTTCGATTTGGCACAAAAGAGTCGCGAATTCCAACTGCGACAAAGTACGACCTCCGATAACACGCTTTAAATGATGTTTAAAGCTCTTTACTCCCGTCTCCCAGAGTCCCCCGAAATGTGGGGACGCCGCGGATATAAAGTGCCACTGTACACCGTCAGTGACAAGGTGATCGTGGACGGCACGATCCTTACACGTTCTTATAAATGCGAGTCGCAACTCTCGGCCCCTACAAAATTCGTACCATTGTCGCTATAAACATCGGTTGGTAGCCCGCGTCGACTGACAAATCGTCGAAAGGCCGCAAGAAAGCCCTCCGATGAGTAATCTGAGACATACTCTAAATGAATCGCAGTAGTTGCGAGACATATGAAAATGCAGACATAATATTTTCGCGAGTTCTGACCGCGACCGACATACGGTATGATTTGTAAGGGGCCGGCATAATCTATTCCGCAGCGGGAGAAAGTAGGCGATGGAGTCACTCGTGGTGACGTTAGATCGCCCATGAGCTGACTTGCGGTCCTCGCGCTCTCGCGTATGCATGCCATACATTTTCTTATTCGAAATTTAACAAGAGATCTCGCACCAAGAATCCAGAAATTTTGGCGTAACACGCGTAGAGTAAGTTGCGGACCTCCGTGCGAGGATCGCAAGTGAGCTTGATCAATAATTAATTCTGTAAGGCGGTGACGCGGAAGGATCACCGGAAATCTCTCATCGTATGAGAGTAAGGAGTGGCGGAGCCTCCCGCCAAACCGAATAATGCCGTTTTTGTCGAGAAACGGCGTCAGCGAACGCAGAGGGCTCGATTTACTTAGCGGGGAATTCGCACGCAACGCGATGAATTCGGCATTAAAGCTTAGGGCTTGTAATTGTTGGATCCAGAAGATCCGCGCTCTTTTGACATCAAGGCTCGTCAATACTCCGGCCGCCATTTCGCTCGCTTTGTTACTGGTTTTATGTATTCTAAAGAGACGGAACACGTGACCTGTGACGCGAAGCAATTTTCCCCACAAAGTAAAATTTTCGTGGATATTGAAGATATCCGTCGCGGGAGCGGACTTTGAATTATCAACAGTAGCGACGCGAACTTCGGCATTCACGTTTGACTCTGTTTCGTCCGATAATTCGTCCTGCAATTTTTTTCTCTCTGGCCAAGAGACGGGAGGATCTTTTAACCAGGCCGGGCCTGACCACCACAGCGGGTGGACGCGAAACTCTTCTACCGAGATACCGCGCAAAGCACAATCCGCGGGGTTGCTGACTGTCGGCACGTGATGCCACTTCGCCGTCGGTAATTTAGCCTGAATCTCGGAGACTCGCGTAGCGACGAACGTTCGCCATTTGGAGGGGTGTTGACTGACCCAGCTAGTGCGATGGTGGAATCAGTCCAGCCGTAAATCGGTATATTCGGACTTTCAAGCACGCCCAAAACGTAATTTATTAAACGTGCTAGGAGTACGATAGTCATGAGTTCCAGGCGGGGAAATCGTTTTTAAGGGCGCCACTTTTGATTTGGCAGCGAGCAGCGAAACCAAAATTCGATTAGGCGAGTGGCAAACCCGTAAATAGACGACAGCGGCGTAGGCACGCTGTGACGCGTCGGCGAATCCATGAATCTCCATCGCGAGATCGTAGGTATTAAGCCAACGTGGCATATGGCAATTAGAAAGCTTAGAAAGACTACTAACGTAATCTTGTCATCTTTGCAGAAGTGACTCGGGAATAGTCTCATCCCAATCGATTTTTTGAAGCCACAGATCCTGCATTAGTATTTTTGCTACAATTACGACGGGCGACGCCCAACCTAAAGGGTCGAATAGCCGCGCGATAAATGATAGGATGGTTTGCTTCGTGGTTCGCGATTCCGTGAATTCTGCGGTTTGAAAAAGAATACATTGTCGGTCGGACGCCAAGCGACGCCAAAGACTTTGAGACTTGTATTCTCTTCGAATGCGTGATCGCATGATAACTCGTGATCGCCGGATGGAATAATCGACAAGAGTTGGGGATCGTTGGCCGCCCATTTTTTCAAGTGAAATCCGCCGGAAAGGAAACCGAGAGGCCTCCTTTGGATTGGTCCGAGTAGCAATGAACCATAGAGATCGGCTCCGATTAATACTTCAATAGTTTCTTTACTCGACGGATCGAAATCCGCGAGTTTTAAGCCTTTCAAGTGAGGCCAAGCGTCGACGGAAAACGCTTGAGTAGCTGCGAAAGCCGTAATCCTTTGATAAATATACATTGAAATCGGCAGTCGTGGTCAGGACGGAGACACGATTCGAATAGAAGACTCGTTTGTGCTCGCGCGATGCCAGAGTATTCTTCCCCGAAGCCGGTAATGTGTAAATTCGCGCGACGTCGCGTCGGACGTAATCTCTGAGCGAGAGCTTCAGAAATGAAACTATATGTCGAGCCTTGATCGAAGAAAGCGCGGGCCTTTTTAGTTCGTCCTTCAACCGTGTGAAGTCGGACCCGAGCGGTAGCGAGAAGGACGGGAATCGGAGCTTGAGATCGCGAACCTAGAGATGCGGTGTTCATTTTTTGCGAGATGTTATATTCGGTTGAATGAAGCACGTTTGAACCACGGCCCTGTCCTGTGACAGCCGCGTGATCGTATTTATTTGAATCCGCTTTCTCGTGTTAATCACGTAAATCTTCGACACGCGCTCCCGTGGTCTGACGACGGGGATGCTCGAAGATTCAGATCGCTTTGCGACAGTCTGTAAGACGGATCATCAGCGATTATTCGAGTCGATCTCGTGCATTAAGCACTACTATTCCGCTCCTGCGAGTCTAAACTTTAGTTTTGTTAATCAATGTAAGAGTGAACAAACAATAAATTCCGTTGTTGTGTTAGAATTCGTTATTCTTCACGCGTAATCATTTTCCATCTCCTTGCGACGTCCCAAACTCGTGCCAAATAGCAAATGAACATAATTGGAGTGGAGCTACAAGATCGGAAGTGTCGCTACATGCGGTATAATTAGTCGCTACGTTGGTGGAAGCGTCATTAAATGCTCCTTGTGCTTCGCACGCTTTACTTGCCGCGGATTAGCGTCGCGATTTCGTACCTTCTCAATCCGCAGCATCGGCGATTGCTACACCGATGTTGTCGTGATGAAGTAATGAATGGTGAGCGCGTTGACAAGAGTTACAGCGCTTCTCACTTGTACAATTTAGCGGAAAATGCCCGGGTCTCAAACAATTGAAACAGATGCGTGCTTGTTTAGCGAGCTGCGCGCGTTAGTCTAGCGACCGTTTTCGGAAGGTCTGACAAAGCGACAGGAAATGATTCCCTTGACAGCAAGGACACTTACGGTCCGTAGTGTTATGAACCGTTGCCTTGATCTTATTCGATTTATCGGAACGTGCGGAAAAGCTGGTAGTAGCGCAATTAGGTACAAGATGCGCAAGGTCAGATAAGTCGCGAAGACATTCCGTAATAAATTCGCGAAGTGTTTTAAAAGTAGGGTAATCAGTTCACGCGCCTAAACGCAAGTTCCATTCGGTATGGATCGCGAGCTGAACTTTTGAGTAACGATGTACACAAGTAAGTCGTCCCATTGATCGGTATCTCGGCCTAAATTTGACAATGCCGATAACGACGCGGTTACAATATTGCGCAACAGCTTTAATTCGGCAGCATTTTCAGTTTTCATTACTGTGAGACTCGCGAACGCGTGAATATGCGCATGGACTAGAGACCGGGCGTTGTTATACTCATCCAGCAGGATCTTCCAAGCCCCAGCGTAGTTCACGTCAGAAGTCGTGATGTGCTTTAACAGAAGCGCAGCATCCCCGTTCATGAACGACTACAAATAATGTAGCTTCTGCGCGTTCGAGAGAGTTTTGTTGGCGCCGACTAAGGCCTGGAAGGTGTCTCGGAAGCTCTCCCACTTGGTCATTTTGCCCTTGAAAACTGGAATGGTGATCCTTGGTAGTGTGAAGGCTGATGACCCGTGACCAGACGGGTGGTGGACGCTGATAGAACTCTGATTAGTGTCAGATGGAGTACGTAGCTTCTGTTTATTGAGTAGGCCTGCGAGGAAATCTTGCGAATCCTCGAACACCGCCTCAGCTCTGCTAATTTCGTCGTCAGTGAAGTAATCATTTTGAAGATCGTCTTTGTCAGCGACCTGCAGGAGCTCGACGTGCTGCTTACAGCAAGTTTGTCAGTGCTCCCGTAACTGCTCCATGCGAAGCTTAGTCTTTGTAATCGTGAATTTCTCCTTGCCGGCCTTCTTATAATTCACGGCTATCCGAGACATAAACTGAACGGTCGTACGTATCGCGATGAGACCGTTCTCGAAATCCGACATGATTCACGGAGATGAACGGTACTAAGATTGAGCGTTATTGATTCCCGTGGATCGTCACCGAATCGACGTGTAGAATTTTCCACTACGGATAGCCACTGACCAAAGCAGAAGCGGGACAAAAGTTAGGTAACTGCGAAATGTCGAAAACACGAGGGCCGGCTCTCGCTTTCGTTGGAGCGAGGGAGACGGTCGATTTTGGCGCGAGACCGCTTGCCGTGCAAGACCGCCCGCCGTGCGAGAGAGAGCGCACGTCCGGCGCGAAATTCCAGAAGGAAAGTTTAAATTTTAATCGTCTTTGCAGTGCTGCTGACAAAGGCTCGTTGTACAGTTCAGTGCTGAATTAAACAAAAGATCGTTTTTTCGTATCCCGATAACAGCGGGACGCGAGAATGAGCGGACACAGTTTTCGCCTATGAGACATGACACGACACTCTGCAGACACAGTTTTTCGGCGCAAATCCGGCTCGGAGGACCATTAATTCACATGTACACGTCCCTCGACTTAACGTGCTGCGAATCAAACTTTTATATATATAATAAGAATACTTATAAGTCAGCTCTTTTAATTTTAAAACCACACTTTTACTCTTCATTCCTCTCGACCATTAGAGCCAAACGAGATGTTATTGCGACAATTAAGAAAGAAAGAAATTTTAGAAACTAAGGAATTTGAATCCTATGGTTGGGATCTCAAAAATTCCCCTTGTTCTTTCTCTTAACATCCTCTGTAAAGAAATAGGCGAGAAAAATATTGGTCCGAAAGTCGGCTGAATCGGGAATCGAACCCGAGACCTTCCGCTTGCCGGGCGACTGCTCTTCCAGCTGAGCTATTCAGACACTTACGAATAAATATTTCTCTCAATGTTTATACCCCCCCCTCCACCTACCCCAAAGCGTCCTAATTAGGTCCAGACGCGTCTCGGGTTCGATTCCCGATTCAGCCGACTTTCGGACCAATATTTTTCTCGCCTATTTCTTTACAGTGGATGTCAAGAGAAAGAACAAGGGGAATTTTTGAGATCCCAACCTCTCTTCTTCTTCACGTGCCCTACCTGGTCGTCCTCCGGACGTTGGCGATCACTCTGGCCATGGTGATTCTATCCACCGCCATACGAAAGAGCTCCTCCGCGCTTCGCATCCCAGTCCATGCTCTAATATTTCTCAGCCACGAGAGTTTCTTTCTTCCGATCCCACGTAAATGGAGCCCTCAATCCTTCCCTTTAGTATCAATTGGAGGAGGCGGTATTTCTCCCCTCTCAAGACATGACCAAGATATTCGATCTTTCTGCATTTGACCGTTACTAGCAGCTCTCGTTGATCTCCTCCAAACATCAGCATTTGTGACTCTGTCAACCCAGGAGATCCCCAGCATACGTCTCATGACCCATATTTCAAAGGCTTCCAGACGGTTCAGCGTACTCGTTTTGAGGGTCCACGCCTCCACACCGTATAACAATACCGACCAAACATAACACTTGACCATTCTCCGTCTTAGCCTCAGATTAAGGTTGTCTTCGCAAAAGAGAGCCCTCATCTTATTAAAAACGCCGCGAGCAATCTCTATCCTATGCCTAACCTCCCGATCGGGGTCCAGGTCCTCTGTAATCAGGCATCCCAAGTACATGATCGACGCGACACGCTCTATCCTTACATCATCAAGGTGCAGTAGGGCGTTCTCATGGCTATCGCGGCTGAAGACCATCAACTTCGTCTTGTTTGTGTTGATATTTAATCCCATTCTTTGTCCAGCTTCTGAGATCCTATTTAGAAGCAGTTGAAGGTTCCCTATGCTATCGGCGATAATGACCGTGTCGTCTGCGTATTTTATGGTTTTGATATATACTCCATTTACCTTGATTCCGAGCTCTGTGTCATCTATAGCTTCCTTGAAGATCTTGTCTGCGTAGAGATTGAACAAAAGGGGGGAAAGAATACACCCCTGTCTAACACCTCTTTGTATGTCCACCCTTGAGGTTGTCAAGTTTCCAATCCTTATTTCAGCTTTTTGCTGCCAGTATAGGTTTTTTATCATCCGGACATCCTTTTCATCCACTCCAGCCTGACGGAGAAGCACAATAAGTTTGCTATGCAGGACCCGGTCGAACGCCTTCTCGTAATCTATGAAACATGTAAAGACATCTCTCTGGTGGTCTCGGCATTTTTGTAGGAGGACATTTGTCCCAAAAATCGCTTCACGTGTGCCGAAGGCACTTCTGAACCCAAATTGCGAGTCATCCAAGTCCCATTCACACTTTGACTTTATGCGAGCGTAGATTATACGGAGGAATGTTTTCAGCATATGGCTCATGAGGCTGATCAGACGGAAATCCGCGCACTATTTTGGCCTCTGTTTCTTTGGAATGGTAACAAACGTTGATATCAGCCATTCTTCTGGTATTACCCCGGTGTTGTATATCCTATTGAACAGTCCTAGTATCGTCTCTATGTTGTCCTCATCTATCAATTTTATTAATTCCATTGGAATCTCATCTTGGCCCCCGGCTTTCCCACTCCTGGCGGATGTGATGGCATGCAGCAGCTCCGATTTGAGTATGACAGGGCCCTCCGGCTCCTCCGCTCCAGCTTGGATGTCCGATCTGGCGTCCTCAAAAAGCCCGGCCACATACTCTTGCCAAGTACGTTTAATCTCGCGCTTCTCTAAGATGACCTTGTTCTGCTCATCGCATATAGACACGAGTACACGTCTTTTATATAAACCCGCCACTTCCTTCACCTTTCTGTGAATATTAAACGAGTCATGCCTCGATATAAGCCACTCTAGTTCTTCGCACTTCTCTTTCATCCAGTTTTGCTTTGCAATCCTGATTTCCTTTTTGATCAGGGTTTGAACCCTCCTGTATTCCTCCTGTCTATTTTTGAGCAGCCGCCGCCTCTCCATTAGGTTCATGATTCCATCTGTCATCCACGATTTCTTCTTCGTATGTCTTGATGGTTTCAGATGTTGTTCGCTGGTCTCAAGGAGAGCCCGCTTTACTTCACCCACTGCGTATTTACGTCAGTGGGGTTTACTTCCTTTATTCGGCTCAGTTTTCTATTGAGGTCAAGTGTAGCACTTTCTCTCGTTTCAATGTTTCGCAGCTTTGAGACATCGATCTTCTTGCTGGCAGTACCACTCCTGACACACTTCAGCCTTAGCGTCAGGTCCGTGACCAACGGGTTATGGTCCGATCCAATATCTGCTCCGGGGTACGCCTTGATACTCCTTACCATGTTTCTGAAGCGTTTATTTATCAGGACATAATCAATCTGGTTCCTCACAGGCTCCGGGTTACTCCCCCCATCGAGAGGCGATTTCCAGGTGTAGAGGCGACGTTTTGATAATTTGTACCATGTATTGGTCACTACCATTTCTGTCTCCTGACAGAATTCGAAAAGCCTATCGCCTCTCTCGTTACTCTCCCCTAAGTCGTGAACACCAACGATATCGGTTCTTCTTCCCTGTCCTATTTTGGCATTAAAGTCCCCCATGACTAGGTTGACGTTGTCACTTTGTAGGCCCTGAAGTGTGTCCCTGATAGTGTCATACAAGACTTCCACATCGTCATCGTATCTTTTTTCGGAGGTAGGAGCGTAGATCTGTATAAGATTAATATCAAATGGCTTTCCATGCAGTTGGAGCAGCATGACTCTGTCCGAGATGGGTATGAATCCTTTCACATATTTGACAAACTCTGAGTCAACAAGAATCCCAACTCCATTGCTGTGTCGACGGTCGTCTTCAGCACTTCCCGAGAAGTAAAGGGTTCCACCTTCGTGGGCACATGTGCCTACTCCTGGCCATCTTAGCTCACTTATTCCCATAAACCTGATTTTTATCCTTTTCATTTCTTTGATTGCATTGCTGAGTTTCCCCGCAGCGAAGAGACTTCTAACCAAGTGGATATACGCAGATTGGACTTCACTATTTTGAGCCGGGAGATTCTTCGCACCCCTTGCCCATCTAAGGGCTGCCCGGGACTAGGGGCCGTTTTTATTGGTTTCCTCGCCATAGTGATATCCTGGGAAATTAAATCAACCGAAATGGTTTCCCGTTGCCTTCTTCGGTATCCTTTCAGCCGCTCCTAACATGGAGAGCAGACGCTGTTCGTAGCCGTCCGTTACGGGTCAGACGCTACTAATCTCGTCATATCTGACTACCCTCACTTAGTTTAGTCTGCAGGTCGATGCAGCTTACCGGGGTGTGGCGCTTGGAGCCATAAGTGAGAGTTGGGTACCCCGTGAGGACCAGACACCAACAACCATCTATTCTTGATGCGACCGTTGTGGTAGAAGGGTACTACCTCTACGGTGTATCCCCACACACCCCTATTCCCAACCATAGGATTCAAATTCCTTAGTTTCTAAAATTTCTTTCTTTCTTAATTGTCGCAATAACATCGCGTTTGGCTCTAATGGTCGAGAGGAATGAAGAGTAGAAGTGTGGTTTTATAAATATATTTTATATCCGGTTACGGCCACTGTCTCGGAGAGTCCGCGCTGAAAGTAGATGTGTAGGAGAAAAGAACACAAAACTGTTCCGAATAACAATTCAATCAAAAGTCTTTAATGAAATTTCAACAACATTGATAATGCACGACTATATGCGACGATAGCAAACGTTTCGTCAATGCTGAACGATAACGCGGGAATCGCTGTGTACTGATCGCTAGTCGAATAATAACTGACTGCCTGCGCTCGGCGAGAGTCAAGCACGAAAAAACGCCGGAATCTCCGCATTTTTATAATATCACGCGTACGGGATCGGGTGATCACGCGTATAGTCGGTATCAATACCGAAGTCATAACGTGATTCTTGAACGGATGTCGAACAAACGATTCATGGCCAAACACAATTAACCTACATGCCGAAAAATCCAATTTGAATTCTGAATAAAGAATCTGTGACGTTAAATTAAATATAAAGAAAATTTCTTGAATTAAAACTTCTTGTCATATATATATATATAAATATATATATATATATATATCTAAAGACTTGA